TCCGCCGTAAAGCAAGAAGAAGAAGAAGACGCCTCACGCGCAGGCTGAAGAAGAAGAAGACGCGAACGCGCTCAGGACAGTTCAGACATTGCGTGAAAATCAGAGATAAAAAACTATATAAATACTGTTCAGTTTCTTGCACAAAAAGACTGATCGTTTTGTGTCTTTCACATCAATATATCATCACGAGCCGCAGGGTTTAATTTGGTTTTGTTTGAGTATGTTTTATGACTCTCAAAGCCGTGATTCCCATCCACTGACATTATATGACTGACAGACTGTGACAGTTTGAGTTAAAAATCTCAGTTTGTGTTCTACTGAAGAAACAAAGTCACCTACATCTTGGATGCCCTGGGGGTAAGCAGATAAACATCAAATTTTCATTTTTGGGTGAACTATCCCTTTAATAGTTTACTTTTGTTCATTTAACCAGCGGTTCATCCTAAGAAGACATTAGAAGAAATGTTACGAAAGCTATTCTGAAAATATTTTACAGGTTGCCAAAACTACAAGATCATAATATGAAGTAGTCAAGCTACAGTCAAGTTACACTTTTGAAAAAGTATCCATTACCATTCAAAAGTTTGTGGTCGGTCTTGATGTTTTTTTTTTAAAGAAGTCTCTGATGCTTATCAAGGCTGCATCAAAAATACAGTACAAACTGTAATATTGTGAAATATTACAATTTTACTTTTTTTTCTGTTTTCATATATTTTAAAATGTAATTTACTCCTGAGATAAATAGCAAAACTGAATTTTCATTTTCCATATTATCAGTGTTGAAAACAATTGTGGTGCTTAATATTTTTTGTGGAAAAATGTGACACTTTTATTACAGGATAATTTCAGCCAAAAGAACAGCATCTACTTGAAACCGAAATCATTATAAATCTCTTTGCTGCCACTTTTGATCAATTTATTGTGTCCTTGCTGAATAAAAGTATTAATAAAAAAAAGTACTGACACCAAACTTACTTGGTAGTGTAAATATCAACCATTTACATACAATATCATCAAAAATGTTTAAACATTAGATGGTATTTCTTTTTACAATCAGAAGTATCTGACAAACAATGTGAACCTAAATTAGGGTGACAGCATTAAACAGAATATAAATAATGATAAAACATGATGACCAGCAGCATTTAACTGAATATCTTGCTACAATAAAGGCATAAGCACTTAAATGAATTGGTGAATTGTATACTTGATCAGTGAATCTGTTTATTTATTAACTGTGCAAACAAATCAGTTCACTAAAACGAATCTGACTTTATGAATCTACATTTAGGAGAGTGTGTCTGGGCCCGGATGCCTGAAAGCCCTTATGCTAAGAAATCCCTTAGTTATAAGGTTAAGGGAGTCCTTAGTGAAACTTGGATTGCAAGAAAATAACCTAAGGGTCAACTTAAGGAACCTTAAGGCTGACATTAAGTATTCCCCTTAATTATTTAAGTGTTCCCTTAAGTGTTTCTACAAAGTCCTTAGTAACCATTTCACCTTAATAAATTTAAGGGACCGAAAGAGCTCCCTTAAGTCATCTTAAAGTCAGTATCTGCAGGATTTTTAAACTCAAATGTAAGACTTAAGACATATGAGCGCAGTAGGGCAATGACTATGGTAACATACTAAACTGTAAAATGACTGCAAAAAGCATTGGGACGAGACCTGGTTGAGCTGCACTAGAGAAGGCAACGAGTGTTATCACTATGTCGCAGACGAACTTAGAGAGATTACAATCATCCACCCCAAAACAAAATCAAGACTTTGTAAAAGAGCATAATAGGACCCCTTTAAGGACTTTCATGCAACTGGGCCCTGATTATTACTTAAGCTGATACAGCAAGGTAGTGTTTCGAAACTTATCAGAATAATTGAAATCCAGGAATCGTACCCTTCATTATCTGGGGAGCAATAATTTTCACATTTGGTAAATTTTCCGTCATTGGTCAGCAGGAGGTGTCCCTAATTACTTATCACAATATTAATTGAAATCCAGGAATCGTACCCTTCATTATCTGGGGAGCAAACTGACAGCAGGAGACCCCGAGGTCATGGGCGTTCTTCTCCGCATGGAGATGGTTCATATTCAGGTCCCACAGCCGCAAGTCACCATATGTGGAGCCGGTGATGAACAGCTGACCGCAGGGAGTGAAAGAGCAGGCCACTATACTGGTGTCAGTCACTGCGCCCGTCCTAAAAGGCACCATACACAAGTGTCAATCAAACAGATTGATCTGGTGCAGTGCAAAATACATCTATATACTTAAATCTATAAATAAAGCTATACTTTTCTATACACTATCAAACAAAAGGAATTACTTGATTCACTATTAAAAAACATTGTTAAAAATTAAAAAGAAAGAAAGGAATAAATAAAATAAATAAATAAATGACTTGATAAAACAATAATTATTAACACATTAATTAACAATTAATTTTAATTAAATGTGGTCCTATTTTTATATTACTTTCCCCTTATTTATTATTTTCTGTAATTATTTTTGAAGTTATTTATTTATTTATTAAGTTTGTATTTATTATACATTATTGTGTTTATTTGTTTTACATTTATTTATTCCCACATGTATTTATTTCCATATTTAAATACTGCCACATTTATAAATAATATAATAACTGCCAAATATTGATTTGAATGTGCTGACAGCATCAGAAAAACTAAATTTAAACTGAATTGAGCTGGATGATAACACTGATGATGGTGTCTTCTGTAGAACTGCTTTATAGCTGAATCAGATTGGTTTAATAATTGACTAATTTCGCAACAATAACATTATTATTGAACTGAATCAACATTAAACTGACTTGAGCTGAATAATGATACTACTGTCTTTTTAAGAGCTGCTTTAGAGCAGAATGAGAATTTGTCTCATATATGATATATGAAGAAGTCTGCATCGATTCTGTTATTTTCCCGTCTATTGTTATGAAGCTGCTTTGAAACAATGTGTATTGTATAAAATGCTATATAAATGTTTACCTGACTTCACATTTATTTATTTCAATATTTTTATTTATTGATAGATAGATAGATAGATAGATGCATTACTGGTCATTAAATAGGCCTATCTAGACCAGTAGTAATGAAAAGCTGATGTACCTGCGCAGTGTCCTGGAGGTAAAGTCCCACAGTGCGATGGTCCCATCGGACCCTCCAGATACCAGGTAAGATGAGTCAGGAGAGAAGGCGCACACCCTCACCGGACTCCGGCCCGGATGCTCCAGGACGGCCTCGATCTCTCCGGAGTCCATCGACCACACCACGGTGGTGGCATCGGTGGAGCAGGAGGCCAGGTACTGACCGCAGGCGCTGAAGCAGCAGTAGTGGACCCCGTAGCCGTGTCCGGACAGCGGGGAGAAGGGCAGCTCGCTGAAGTCTCGTGTGGAGTAAACGCAGATGCTCTTATCAGCGGAGCAGGTGGCCAGCAGAGAGCCGGAGAACGCGCAGCAGTTCACATCATCTCGATGACTTTGTAAGGTGCAGATCAGAGACACCATGTTTGTGTTTATGTCTTGTTGTCTGACTGGTCCCTTTAAAAACACAGGAAGAGGAAGTGTCTGACGTAACGGACAAAACCATTCACGTTTCGTCTTTCTAACACTAAAAGCTGGAGTTTGACACATTATTCGACACAGTCAAACCACTTGACATTACAAACGTGCTTCGCGAGTTGTTTAAACTGACGAAAAACATGATGTAATACCTCTGGTCACCCTTAGACAGCATTATGAAACTATCCAGTATCATGTTTAATAACCCAGTATTACATTTCAATATATTTTATGTATTTTTATTGTTTGTCAAATGTAATCTGTGTTCGAAGACATGACGTACCTTCCGCGAGCACTTCCTGGTCCTGTCACGTGACTTTCAGGGACCCCACGTGGTTTTTGTTTACAGTGCTGCTTTTTTTGTTGTTTTTGTTTTTTTGTTTACAGTGCTGCTTTTAGGAGACTGCTGTAAATGTGTGCATTTGCTCATTTCGTGTGCAGCCATATTCAATTTTATGCACTTATTTGTGCAATTAACATTTTCATTAAATGTTAATAACTGTAACAAAATAACATTTTATTACTATGATTTTTTTCTCTCGCTGTTGGAGACGAATAGACAAATATTTATGAGGATTGGGGAAAAATACTGAAAAGAGGTCCCAGCAAATACCAGGGTCAAGTGATCTGGTATAAAACTCACCATTTGGCAGCAGTGCAAAGAAGCTTGCTCACCTTTGAGTAAATCTAATATCTTTTACAAGTTATTTTCATGGCAAGAGACAAACTGTAAAATTTGTCAAGTGTCCTAATGTGTTGGAAAATAGCAATTTTAGCATGTTGTTGTTGTTGTTATTATTATTGCTGCCCATTTAAGGGTTAAACACTCAATAAAAGGACTTTCATTAATATTTAAAAATGTTTAAATAAATTAATAGAATTTTTTGTTGCTGCCCATTTAAGGGTTAAACACTTGAACAAAACATGGTGATTTCATAAAAATGTTAATAAAAAAAAAAATGCATTTTTCTATAATAACATGACCCGTAAAATGAAAGAAAATTAGACCACTGCCCATGGGAAAAGGAATAAAATAACACATTAGACACTGTCTGGATTTAAAAACATCCTTTTAATAAGTCCGTGCCAAACATCCACACACTCGCACAAACACACGCTCGCACTCTCACATACACACACACACACTAGTGAAAAATAATGCTTCTACAAAAAGAACGCTACCATTTGTTTCCCACAATATCTTTAAATAAAATAACTTCAAGTACTCTGACGCAGGTACAAAAAAACTCTGTTCTATCTGCCTCCAGTGGGCCACGATGCACGCGGGAGACTCAGACACATGTGGTTACAGAACGCCTGCTGTCCATCTCTGTGCGCCTCTGGGGCCAGCGATACTGAAGAATACTCTTAACAGTTTTCATATGGGTTCAGATAAGAGTTTCGTACAGTATGCCTTTGAGTGGAGGCCTTGATGTGTTTTGTATTAGAAAACAATAACATTACAAAAAAGGGGGAAAAACTAAACAAAACGAGAAGGAACAAATTAATTTTCCCTATACCCTGTTCTGAAGGGCAGGCACTACTAAGATTAAGGAGACCACAGTGTTTTGTAGAGGATATGTATATACTGTACAAACAATAAATGCATATTATTAATCACTTTAAGACTAAAATTAATTGCTACAAACGTTCTAAGGCATAAACCATATCCAATGTCTGAAACAATATGTACACATCATTCCAAACAAGACTCAATATATTGACATTAATAGACAGTATGTACACATGGGTGCCTCCTGCTTGTCTGTGTGTGTGTGTGTGTGTGTGTGTGTGTACAGTGATGCCATTAGTTCACGTTCAGAGGGTTGAATACTCTGATGCCACATGGCACAGAACAGTGTAAACAGTTTTTTTTCTTGGCTTCGTTTCATATTTGGAGAGGAAAAACACAAACAAATAAACATTCCATTAGATCTAAAGCAGTTTTGCTGTTTCTTCCTTTTCATAGAAAATGAAGAGTGGACCTTTCTTTTATTTAGTCATAAATAATCATTTAAAAAATTAAATACATTCACTATAATATTAACGATAAAGTAAAAATACAAAACCAAAATAAAAAGATATTTACAAGTAGTGGAAAGGGACTTTTCTCCTTAGTACAGCTCTGATGGTTGAAATTTCAGTGCGACTTCTCTTTTCTAGAAGGAAATGGTATTGCACAAAAACACCCGCTGTCTTGTGTCTCTTTAGGTGTTGATGTGGGATTGGTCGGTCCTGAAGGCTCTGTGTCGCAGAAAGAGCTGTGACTTGTTTTGAGCCCCGGTTGCAGGTTTGAAATGACAGCCCGTGGTGGTCCGAGACCACCTCAGTTAGTTTGCTTCAGCAGCTCAGTCCACCGCTTCTCAAAGAACTTCCTCATGTTGTGCCCGGCCCGGCCGATGTCAGAGTTGTCCTCGTTGAACTTCTCGCAGTTGTCGAACACCAGGTTGACATCGATGATGAACGTTTCTAAATTCTGATACCTAAAGAACAGAGAAAAATATTCAAGGACTGCATCTGCATCTCATTATTAATGAATCATGAAACACTAAAACATTTGTTTTTTAGCGTTAGGATATGTGTGTTTTACATATAAAGGAAGACAGTGCTATCTATATTTTACTGTTTTTAATGTTGAGAGGCAAATAGTTTTTTTTTTAGTCATTAAATTATTTTTTTTTGTATTAAAGTATTTTATTTGAGGATACATGTAACATAACCTATATTTGTTGTCATTTTATTGATATGCATATTATTCTCATTTGTAACGTGTATTTTTTAAAAATAGGATTTATTTACTTATTTTGTTTTATTAATATTTTATGTATATTTTAAGTCATTTATTTTAGTGGAAATTATTTAAAATGGTACATGATAAAAAAAACAGTGCTATCATTTCATTAGTTTTAATGTTAAAAGGGAAAATGTTTTATTTAGGCATTTACGTTTTTATAAATTGATATTGTTTTTAAAGATACATGGAGCATAATCTATATTTGCTGTTTTGTTTTTTTTCTTGTTATGGATATGTTCATTTGTAAAGTCTATATTTTTGTGCATTCATTTATTGGTGCATGTATTTATATATTCATGTTTTTTTTTCTTATTAATATTTATTTTAGTTATTTATTTTATTCCAGAGCATTAACAAAAAAAACTTAATATAAAATAAAATAATTTTCTAATAAAATGCTTTTAACTACATATATTTAATTTTATATGATTTATGTATGTATTTATTAAAATACTTGTAAGAATTATTAAATAATTATAAAAAAAATTATTTTGGTTAATTTTTCATCTTCCAGTATTTCATGCCCCCTTCCCCCGCCAGTATGCAGCTTTTACTTTTTCCGCATTTTTCAAATCCACGTGAGAGACACTTACTGGCTACTGACGAGTTTTTCACGGATAGTGGAGAAGGCCATAGGTTTTTTAATGACTTTGCGGTACCCTGGGACAGATTTGAGGTTAACCGGTGTGAGGAAGGGCCAGGCGTCCTGATGACGTTCCAGTTCAGCCAACAGAATCCTGAGAAATTCAAATGTACATGAGAGCTGCATTTAAAAAACATTCCATGTCCAGGAATACACAGAGAAAATAACAGAATGCAGGCGGCACCTGCAGAGGCCCAGGTCCCGGTTGTTGTCTCTGGCTGTTTTGGCTCTTTTTACACAGGCAGGGCTGTCTGGTTTGGGTGCTGGGGGGGTGGAGAGGTTCTTCTTGGACTGGGTGGCGGTGGCAGCTGCTTTCTTTGGGGTGCTGTTGTTGCTGCTGGTGGCTTCTTCTTCTTCACACATCTCAGTCTGCTTCTTGCTTTTCTTGGCTGCTTCTGTCGCCTTTTTTCCTCCACTGGCTGGTGGTGTACGATTCGGAGTCTTCCTAGATTTAGGTGGCTGACCACTTGCCTGAAAGTGTGTACAGGACTAGTTCAGATTTACAGGTTCATTATGCTACACGTAACACATTTACAACACATTAACACACATGAAAAAACACTTAATAACACTCCAAATAATTCAGTGAACACAGTACACATCACTGCTCACAGTGCTAGACTAAATAATTAGAACTCATTAGCACTTGCAGTCACTTTCAGTCATTTCCACAGATGAAATGAGAAGACTAAGAAAAAACACATTTTATCATTATTTATACTACTACTACTACTATTATTCTTATTAATGTTGTTTACTATTATTATTATTATTATCAATGCAAAAGAGGGTATGCAATGCATATCTTTTTAATAGACTAGAGTTTTAATAGAGTTTGGGGCCAAAAAATAAATAAATTTCAAATAAATGCTATTCTTTTGAACTTTCTGTTCATCAAAGAACACTGGGAAAAAAATGTATCACGGTTTCCACAAAAACACTATACTTTTTTAATAAGCAGCTCAACTGTTTTCAACATTGATAATAATATGAAATACTTCTCGAGCACCAAATCAGCATATTAGAATGATTTCTGAAGGATTATTTGACACTGAAGACTGGAGTAATGGCTGCTGAAAAGTCAGCTTTGCATCACAGGAATAAATAAAATTTTAAAATATATTAAAATATTATTGATTTTACTATATTTTTTATCAAATAAATAATAAAAATAAAAAACTTTCAAAAACATTTTTAAAAATATATAGACAGAAATCTTAGACATAAGCGCATCCTCTCAGATACATAGCTCTGAAAACATGCGCCTCAGCAAATGAGCACTTGTACTCGTAATGATGTGAACTGGAGGCGGTTACCTTGGAGATGCAAGCAGGGCAGTACCAGTCTCCCTCTGGGATGTTGGTTATCTTGGGTTTGTGGCAATAGGTGTGACACCCTTTATCACAGCCGTCACACAGCAAAAGCAGGTCTTCATTATCGCCCTTTCGGCACATCTGACAGTACTGAAAACACAAACAGGCATATAAGTATGGAAACTATAACACTGTATACTGTAGATATATAACAAATACACTTCTAGACACTTCTGTGGTTTGTGTATGACATAACCTACCACTTTCATGATGGACCTTTCCCAGGCGATGGATTTCTGGAGCTGCTGCAGACACATGGCCAGCTGAGAGGAGCTGCGTACCTCACTCAGAGCTTTCCGCCACAGCTTCATCCCTGGAGCAATCTCTTCCTCTCCCCTGCAACACACAAAAGCACAACGCACAGATCAGAGAGGGGGTTTATTTCAAACCTGTAATTTGTCCTTAATGTTTCTGTTAGATTGAGTAGCTGAGACCCTGAGCTTTAAAAAGCACACACATAAACACACACACACAGATGTACAGCCTATATAGTGTGATACAATTCTGTGGCATGACTTAAAAGCCATACATGAAGACAGAGAGCTGTGGTGAACCATGCACTTAGAAGTATCAGAAAACAAATCAGCTTTTGATGTTTTCATACTCCATCTGTGCAATGCTGATTAAAACCATGCAGCCAAAAACAGGAAGGGTGCAGGCAAGGGAGCGAGAGGAAGAAGAAAAAAAAACAAAACATACACAGCACGACAACCAAAAACCCGAAACCGGAGCCAGGGTGAGAACGGATGAACGGACGAGCAGAGAAGCCCCAGCCAGCAGAGAGAGGGGTAGGGGGAGGATGAGGAGGAGTAGAGACGAAGGCTGGCATTCTGGATGACCTACCCTTCCCCTCCAGCGCTAGTGGATGGAGCAGGTGCGGGGACAGTGACTGTACCCACATTATCCAGTTTGATCTGGATGGTGGTCCCTAAGGGGCTCCGCAGGTACCTTCTCTCGATGTGACGCTCCAGCTCTGCCAATCGTGACACAGCGATGTCCAATGGGTTGCCGGGGCGACGGATCAGACCCTTTTCTGAGCTTCGCTCCTCCTGAGACTCCGCCCCAGGGCGGGGCTTCGGGAGGAGCTTGTGCTCATAATAAACCAGGTCATCTCTTTCAGACTGTGGCTCCGGATACGTCCAGCCCTGAAAAGCAAGGGATTGTGGGAAATGGTTAATAGAAGAAATGACAGTGATTTTATGCATTTCTGGAAGCTGTACAAACACTCACCTTGACCTGCAGGCTGGCGGATGTGACTTTGCGCTCCAGCTCCTCCACTTGTTGCAGCAGAGCGATGTCAGTCTCCATGGCCTGCTCCTCCACACACCAATCCTGTAGCGTCTCCACGGAAACCTGGCCCTCTTCCAGCTCCGAGACCTCCATAACTGCCACTGCAAACAAAAAATAAGACAGCCATAAGGCCCCCAGGAGATATCACACCCGTAAAGCACAGCACAGCACAATTCAGCTCATTCTGACAACTGCACGCTCGGCTGAGTCAGTTACACAGTGTTTTAGAGTACTTTCATGTATATTATTTACGACTGCAAACAAGTCAAATAATAAATTCCAGTTATTCTGATTTATTTTACTGCGTTCTATATCAGTTAACCTCAAATTTGAATTTGCTGAAATGTGCTTACATTTCTTTTCTTAAAAATTATACCGGGAAACACTTTATTTTACAGTATCCTTGTTACATGTACTTATGTCAGTTATAACAGTAATTTATGAATGATTACATGCAACTAACCCTAAACAAGTACATGTTGTTAATTAATATTACTCAGTACTCAAATGTATAATTATACTGTAACGAGGACACAAAGGGATAGTAGGAAAATTAAAACTGTCATCATTTACCAAAATTATTAGCCAAACAGTTGACGGTAGCCATTGACTTCCATAGTATTTTTTTCCCCCATTCTATGGAAGTTAATGGCTACCATCAACTGTTTGGTTACCAACATTCTTCAAAATATCTTCTATTGTGTTTTACAGAAGAAACAAACTCAAACAGGTCTGGAACAAGTAAAGTGAGAGCAAATTATGACTGCTTTCATTTTTGGGTGAACTATCCCTTTAAAATAAAGTGTAACCATATACTTCCATTTTAATACATTCAGTTCCTCTTTTATGGAAGAAATAAAAAAATGTGATCAGCTAGAGACAAAAAAGCAGGAAAATCTGACCACGCCCCAAGCAACGCCCCCCACACTTATTATTTAAAAAATATATATTTTATCACATTAAAAGATATATCTTATATTGTAATACATACTATTGTTCTGTAAAAATAAAAAGCAGATAAAAAGCAGCATTTAATAATCATTATAATAATAATAATATAATTGATCAATAAACTCATAAAAACAGCAATATTGTGAAATATTATTACAAATAAAAAAACAAACAGTTTTCTATTTATATTTTACAATGTAATTTATTCCTGTGATGCAAAGCAGAATTTTCTGCATCATTACACCAGTATTCAGTGTCACATGATCTTTCAGAAATCATTACAATTTGATTTGATGCTCAAGAAACATTTCTGATTATCAATGTTGAAACAGTTGTGCTGCTTCATATTTTGTGGAAATGGTGATACATTTTATTTTTCAGGATTTTTTGATCAATAGAAAGTTCAATGAATAGCATTTATTTGCAATTATCAAATATGTTTATTAAATTGAATAAAGCATTTATTAAATAGAAATATTTTGTAACATTTTAAATGTCTTCACTCACTTTTCATCACTTTAATGTATGATGAATAAAAAAATGAATAAAATTTCTCTTTTTAAAAAAAAAAATCTTACCACAAATGTTTGTGTGGTATCATTGTTTCCATAAAAATGTTAAGCAGCAAAAACTGTTTTAACACTGATAATAATAACTAGTAAATGTTTTTTTGAGCAGCAAATCAGCATATTAGAATGATTTCTGAAGGATCATGTGACACTGACTCTTCGTAAACAACAACAGATTTATAAACGAAGCTAATGATGAATGTTGTGTTCCCAAATGCAAATGAAAGCGACTCTAACGCAGTAGTGAATCGAAACTGAAAACACAGTACTGTTACAGCAGACATGTAGCGTGTCAGACTATAGCCTAAATCTATATAATTCCATCACAATCGTTGCAAATTTTATAATAGAACGAAGCAATCTCAAATTCTCACCACCACTGATAAAAACGTTACCGGGCGAGTAATCCCTGTGATTTTTTCCCCCGGAAGAATTCCATCCCTGAATTTAGTTTTGTTATGAGTCTTCCATGGATTTCATTTAAAAAGAAATATGCAGTATGAAGGTCTTTTTCCATAATTTTCTGACACGTGGGCTGTTGTATGTTTGTATGTGTACTGAAATCAATACACTGAACAGAATGAAACTACTGGAAGGTCAAATTATGTAAATGTGTTAATATGTTAAAATGTGTTAACAATGGTAACTAAGCTATCTCTGGCGGTCTTGGTCTTTTGGTCTGCTTGAACTTTTTCCATGGCTACATCTGTAAGCTAAAACACACACAGACACATTGTGTTATTTCTTAGAGACTCAACTCACCCTCTCTGTTCTTGTTACAGGTCTGTGCAATGAGATCCATGGATTTCTGCAGCTGCTTCTGCAGGGCTCTCTCTCGGATGCCTCTGCTGTGGAGAGCATTCACTAGCGCTTTCAGCTTCTCCATGTCTGTCACCTTCCACCAGCCCAGCAGCATGTCTGCCAATCAGCCAAAACCATTACCGTCAACAACCCCAAACAAAACTGGACTAATGACACATTGTTGTTGAGAATTATGGGTGAATCTTACAGACTAAAAGTGCATCATTATTATTTAACAACTAGTAGAAGTAGTTAAATAATAATAGTAGATGGAAGTAGCAATTGACCCTTCGCAAAGAGCTTGATTGACAGGCGATCTGACCAATCATAATGCTGAATCCGCCATTTTGTCCGACAAACAAATCAGACAGGAGAGTAGGTTAACTTCGGTGGACTTAAACATGAAAAAATTGTGTGTATTGACGTCTTTCCACAGTTGAAAATAAAATATGTTCTGATGTTCATTCATGTTTATTTCGTGCTTTAAGTAAATATGAAAAGACGAGCGGTTCACGTGCCGCTTGAACTGAGGCAATACAGCGATCTGTCATGACATATTAAAGATATGCACAAAACGGTATATATTGTTTGAATTTCTTAAAATACCAGAAGTAACCTGCTCTGTCTTGTCTGTCGGCGTGTTGTCAGTTTCCTCTTTGCTCCGCAATGTATTTTTTACTGCGTGAGAACATGATGTGTAGTGTGAGAGCGGCATGGCTTGTCAGACATAGCAACAGTAACTAAAGAGGGCGGGTTTATGCGAAGGGTCAATTGTATGTGTGATTTCTGAGTGAATTACTTGACTGTACAGCACTCACTCTCTGGTATGGGCAGGGGTTTGGGGTGGTCATGATTCCTAGGAAGGTCCAGTGCCATTGGAGAAGGAACAGATGTAAGCTTCTCCACAGTGGGAACAGGAGAACCACTTTTGCTGGTTGAGACGTGAATAAGACAATATTATGATTAAGGTGTTTACATGAGTTGCTTTTAGAATATTACTTTCATTTTCCCGTTTTACATGTTAAAGTACATAGATCGATTAATGGCACATCATTACGTTCCCACGCAACGCAATCCAACGTTCCCCCTTCGCAAAGAGCTTGACTGACAGGCGATCTGACCAATCATAATGCATTTTGTCCGACAAACAAATCAGACAGGAGAGTAGGTTAACTTCGGTGGACTTAAACATGAAAAAATTGTGTGTATTGACGTCTTTCCACAGTTGAAAATAAAATATGTTCTGATGTTCATTCATGTTTATTTCGTGCTTTAAGTAAATATGAAAAGACGAGCGGTTCACGTGCCGCTTGAACTGAGGCAATACAGCGATCTGTCATGACATATTAAAGATATGCACAAAACGGTATATATTGTTTGAATTTCTTAAAATACCAGAAGTAACCTGCTCTGTCTTGTCTGTCGGCGTGTTGTCAGTTTCCTCTTTGCTCCGCAATGTATTTTTTACTGCGTGAGAACATGATGTGTAGTGTGAGAGCGGCATGGCTTGTCAGACATAGCAACAGTAACTAAAGAGGGCGGGTTTATGCGAAGGGTCAATTGTATGTGTGATTTCTGAGTGAATTACTTGACTGTACAGCACTCACTCTCTGGTATGGGCAGGGGTTTGGGGTGGTCATGATTCCTAGGAAGGTCCAGTGCCATTGGAGAAGGAACAGATGTAAGCTTCTCCACAGTGGGAACAGGAGAACCACTTTTGCTGGTTGAGACGCTGGGTGCTAGCAGGGGGCTGGCGCTGCCCTCCACTGAGGGGTACATGTGCAGGGGGCTGCTACACTGGGGGAGATTGGGGCTGATGACCCCACCGGACCAGTTGCCCAAAGGCAAACCAATCAGAGCTCCACCTGCCTTCACCTGGGAGGAGATACATGATGAGTAACCATATCATTTAGATCAGTGCATCTCAACCAAGGGGCTGGGTTCCACTAGGGGGCCTCTTCAAATCTCCAAGGGGGTGTCAAGATTATTTAAAATAGGAGAAAACAAACATAAAAATCAAGATATTTCTTATTTTAATTCACCAACTCAACAACTGTTTGGAAAAATCTATGAGGAAGCCTAATTTTAAATGTGTGATTTCTAGACCTGGAAACAAAATCGTAAAACGCTGTGAGAATTTTTATAATAAATGCAAATTTTTCTACTTATTCCAAGCGAAAACATTTTATCAGGTAGAAATTACACAAAAAATTTTTTTTTTTAATTCTCATACTTAATCTTTATCCAGTAAATCATGAATAGCTGGTACAGTCAAGGGGTCTTTGAATATTGTTGTGGACAATGGAGGGCCTTCAAAAAGGTAAGAGCCTCTGATTTAGAGTTGAGCCATGAGCCACACAATTTAGAAGAAATATTAGACACTTTGTCTAATATTTTTTTTTTTTGTCTGTATGTCATAGAAAGTCACATAAATGAAAGAAGAAGGTGCAATCAGTTAACTGTATGATATTATAACATAAATTTGATCGTTATTTTAAATTAATTGTATTTTATTTTCAGAATTTTTGGTTTCTGATTTTCAATTCGTTGCAACATTAAACAATCACAACCAATCAGAACATGTTCGAACATTCACATCATCATAACACTTGGGCATATTTCATAAAGCCATGTGAAGCAAGACTTTTGAACCACTGAGATATCACTGTGGGTTGAGCTACCCAAAATAACGTGAAAGAAATTGAATCCAAACAACTAACAAATTGTCTTGGTTAGGACAAAAGCTCTGATTAACATGGAAGAGATTTATTGTTTGTCTCTTTATCATGCTGGACACTGTAAATATGAAATATATCTCAAGTAGGATGGGTAATTACCTGCAAACTGAGGTTGCTGATTCCACCCGGTGAGGGGTTCAGAGGGCTTGCAGACACAGAAAGAGGAAGCAGATGATGGTGCGGAGAGGAGGTAGATGGTGGAGGTGGAGTTTTGGGCCGTGTGCTGGCGGTGTTGCTGCAGGGCGAGGACTGCGGGTGTGCAGACGGCTGGATGAGGGAGGTGTCGTCGCAGGGCGAGCGAGGCAGCAGGCTGAACCAGTGCCCGCTGCGCTCACTGAGGACCTTGAGCAGCTGGTCGTTGGCCAGGAGCTGAGTCTGCACCAGCTGCTGCACATGCAGGATGTGCGCAGGGATGCACAGCTGCAGAGGAGGAGGAACTGTGTGCTCTGCGCTTGGGCTGCTGGCCTCTGTCAGCTTAGAGGTAGTTGGAGAGTGAGCTGGAGATGATGCTGATATAGTTTCCATTGTGGGGCAGCCGTTGTGGGTGTGACAGAGCCCCTTGGCCTCGACAGGTGTGTGAGGCAATTCCTGACACTGGGGGCTTTGTGAGGGGCGGAGCTCTGGTGGTTGAAGGGGCGTGGTCACAAGCTCTGTTTCCTGCTGTTCTTTTAGTGGGGAGGAGCGCATCTCTTTATTTGCCTCCTGATCAGGATCGATGGGCTTCTCCTCCTCCTGTTTCACCTCCTCCTTCACAGCCCCCTGTATCTCCTCATGCTGGTGATGCTGCAGAACTTCCTCCTTGGGCTCCTCTTTGACTGGAATGTTTCTCAACCTCTCACGCTCTTTCTCCAGCTCCTTGACTCCTACATGAGAGACAGAAGGAAAACATAATTAGTGGCTGTACACAAATGCATTTATGGATAAATGGAGGGATGGGTAGATACTCACCTTCTCCACTTTCTAACCCCTCTATGTAAACCCCTCCACACTGTGGGAGGACCCAGTATCTGCGGCGGTACCGGTCCTGCCCGTATGACATGGACCGCAGGGCATGAGACGACTCAAACAGTTTCCGACGGATCAGGTTTTGCTGCTGTACTCACACAGAAATACACATTAGTGGGTCTTTGTGTGGGACTGTATATGTAATTATGATAGGGCTGCACAATTGATATAAAACCGTAATTGCAATATGGCTTAGTGCGATTATAAATTCATAAAGGCTGCAATTTATTTAAATAAATAAAGTGCAGCTCTGTGTTCATTTACACACGAGCAGCTCATGTCCTGGTGTTTTCAATGTCTCAGAACGGCTTATTTCCATATCTGCTTTCAGTTTGGTCATTTAAAACGTGCATTTGGGACGCAACATGCGCCAACCACCTTATAAATCATCTATTATCAACAAAAGAGAAGCTTTGAGGGCTCCCTGCATTTTTCTGCCAAAATTGATGGTTTAACCTTTGAAAATTAAAACATAAATATTAGTTTTACAGTTGTACTTTTATTATTATTATTATTTAATAGTATTACTAATTATATACTATATTATTATAATTATAATCAATATTTATATTTTATAGTTATATTGATATAGAAGTCAATTTTGATACAAAATTTTGGGCTAAATTGCATAGCCGTACAAGCACAGTAAACCTGGACCTTTCTGAAAAACAAAAATTAATTGCATCCACACATTTTATCAGAAAAATTGCAATTCGATTTCCCCCCCAAATCGTACAGCCTTAAATTAGGAGATTTGAATATACCTTTGATAATTTCTCAATCTGTTTCTCCAGCTCTTCAACACTTGTGGCTGGGTCTCCCTCATCCTGACACAAACACATATACAGGCTCAATCAATATAAAAAGTCTGCTAAAGACAGGTAAAGTCATTTCTGTATGAAACTGCACGCAAAATGAACGCCTTTTACCTCATCGCACGTCTCCACCTTTTTTCCCTTTTTAGCCTCTTCCTCCTCCTCATCTTCATCTTCATCCCCTGCGTCCTCACTGTCATCATCTTCATCTTCGTCATCATCACTATCCCCAGCCTTCCTCTTGCGCTTGTGACCAATGGCGGAGCCGCCCGCAGCCTGAGGCTCCTCCCCTCCAGTGATTGCTTCACGTTTCCCTGTCCGTTTAGCATAGATTGTTTTCATTCTGCATGAACATAAATACTGATTAGATAGAGACAAAACTAAGATATTATGTACATTTAATGCACAGAGAAACATTGATTGTGTTTATTGCCTAGTAAGATGCCTCGATTCAAATGTTTGAACACATCTATTATAGCTAAAAATGCTGTCTAAGTAGAGAAGTTCTGAAATACAGCCATTATGTTCATATAAATCAGCAGTAAATATGATGATACTCACTTCTTCAATTTGCCCTCCACGATACACTCGTCCTTCCGTAGCACGTTCATGTGCTCCAGGCTTTTGTCGATCTCACTGCAAAAACACAAACAGTTCCGTACTGCCGTAGATACCAGAGTTTTAATATTATTAATGTATTATAGTTACTATTATTATAGTTTTTATTAATAATTTAAATTAGCCTTTGATTTTTCATTTTTATACTAAAAAACTCTATATTAAAAATATATCACTATCAAGGTTTTCTTTTTCTTTATTTCAGTTTTAGTTAGTTCAGTCTTTAGTTGAGTGTTTTTTATTCCCAGTTACTAATTATATA